ATAAACTACGTCTCTTAACGAGTTGATAAATCTTAGCCTAACGAAATTTGGTCAAAATTTATCTGTAGAAAAAAGATGTCAAAACCAGGACAGCTTCAAGTTCCGCCGCCAAACCTGCCGAGCGGCAATCGTAAGTATTTTTTTATCGTTTTCGTTCGTTTTATTCTTTTTGACTCAGTTGAGTTCTTCAGTTTGTTTTCCGGCACTAAGCTAGTGGGTGGTGGCTCATTCATTTCTGCTAATTTTGATTTTTACAACAGGCCACTTTATAATGGTAATTGAACTGAGTGGAGTGCAATTTGGGCTGAAATCCTATGTGCGATTTCAAAATCGAACGAGCGCACAGCGCAAGTTTGATTTGAAATCATAAGTATGATTTCAGACCAAAATTGCACGGCACAAGGTTCAATTACCAGACTTTATTACATCCATTTTGAAATCACCCAAATACAGGACTTGGTCAATTCAAATATTTTATTAATACAATACTGAGCTGGTTTAAAATTAAATTCATCCATTTTTTGGGAGGAAAAAATAAGAGTTTTGGAAACAAAAGTTTCAAAATTTGCCATATGATACTCCATGTCTTTCATCTTCCTGCAATATGATCGGTTACTTTAAACAAGCCTTGAAGTCTGATTGGTTGTTTTGTTTTTAGTGTAGCCTCCTCACTGGCTGGGGAAAAGATGCGATTTAAAGCAAAAAATGGTGCAATTTGTGAATAAATCGCACCAATTAGAGCCAATCAGATTACAGGGACCATAAGTGATTTCAAAATGGGTGTAATAAAGTGGACAACAGCGCACGACGTGTTGTTGTGCAAAGAAATTTTGGTACAAGAGTTTTACAAGTTCAGGAAAGGAAGCAATGAAAGAGGAAGAATTTGGACACAATTTCCGAAAACCTCAACAGTGTAACTGCAGTCAAATTCAAAGTAAATCAATGGACGGTGAAAGAGAGATTTGACTTGCTACTCTGAAGATTTCGACAGCAAAGTAGAGAAAAGGCAAAAGTAAGTGGTGCAACTCCCAAACCAACAGAGCTCGGTGTACTGTTAGAAGAAATTTCTGAGCGAGAAACTAACAGAATCTACGAGAGAATCTTGTAGCAGCAAGAGCGTAGAAACAGATCGCAAAAAAAGCCGAGGACATGTGTTCCCAAGCCTTGGAAAGACTTAATGAAACTAAAATAAAGGCTAATAAAGACTGTGAAAGAAAAGTGAAAAGGCAGCGAAGAAGCGGAGCTGATGTTACCGAATTTCCACGGGAAAAGTCAGAAAATGAGCTTAAGATCCGTGAAGAGGAGCTCGCTTTGTAAGCAAGAGAAGTTGACAACGAAAAAGAGAAGCAAGCACAGATGTTTAAAACCCAGGAGGCTATGATGGTGTTGTTAGAAAGACTTGCGAAAAAGTAATTACAAACTAGTTCCCTGACAGAGATGACATTGCATTAGTTTATTCTTCTTTGTAAATTTATTGCAGCTTCAAGTTAACGATTTTGTTTTTTAAATGTCATTTTGCATTTTCTGTTTTTTTACAGTAGGAATAAATTCTGTTGGGTTCTGCAAATATGATTTCCACCTATTTTGCCAGAAATTTGTTCAGTGGTTTACACCATTCAAGATATATCTTAAATGAATAAATTATTTTAGTGCTCACAATTATACTTTCTTTGTATTCAGTTTAAAAAAAGACATAGTATTATGCAAAGTAAGAAAAAAGGTTCGGGAGGGTTTACACCGAAAGAACTTAGAAGTGTTATTTTCATACAGGCAAGTGAGGCTGTTCCTTAAAAGTGCGCAAACGATATTGTTAGATTTTTTTTTAACACTTGTTCTGTTGACTATTTCTTTATTCTCTCCTTTTTCTACACAAGTTACTATAACGGGAACCAGGGTAAATTCTCTCAAGAGAAGTGTGGGTCACCGCTTATAAAGGTGACGCTTACTGAGCTATCAATCTCTAACCTTCGTCATCCTTTTACACTTAATTAGCGAATCACGTTAAGCTATGCAGAACGGAGTTCACATACTAAGTAGGTACCTTCGGGATGTTTACGCTTTACAAAATCATTTTCTACCTTAAATTTCTGAATCTTGCTGTCAAGGTTGGTCATATCTAAAACAAGATTGGTGATATAAAAGTGATAATAAACTCACTAACAGAATTATAATCATACTTGAAAAGATATCTTAAGAGAAAATAGTCGTCGAAGACTGTTACATAACAGCAGAATAAACAGAAAATTCGGAGAAGAAAGGGCGTGCCCAAGGTACTGCCCCTAAAAGAGCTACGTGCTGTTCATATAAGTTACCTGATTATGAATTCAGTGCGGAGGATGAAAGGTACTACTTGTTGACACCCTAAATCACCTCTAAGAAAAAGAGGTGTCGAACGTGCTAGATTAACATTTGAGAACTATTATCCTGATCGGGAATTCGACAACTGGAATATCAGTGGTAAAAGTATAAGGAGGGTTATTTCCAGGAAATTCCTGTACGGGATCAATTTTTTATAAGGTAAAGTCATTCTTCTTCGTAATTATACATCGTTTCGCAACCTAATGGCAATATACCAATATTTAGCCGCAAATTGTAGTTTACGCAAAAACATCTTTCTCCATGTCAAATTCGCGATCAAATTAAGAAAAAGGCGACCGAAATTCTACTTGTAAGGTAAGACCGCCAAAAGGAATAAGAAATGATCTACTGGCTTATTATAATTTTTACTGAATGGCTTATGGCAATATCTTATTTCCATTCATTTTCCAACATTTAAATAAGTCAAAAAACACCTATCATGAAAATGCTTGCCAGATGCCAATTTTGTCTTTTTAGAATATGCATTTTCCCTACTGAGCTCAAAACCAAATTTTAAGTTCTTTTGAAAATCTAAAAACTTGAAATAGTTTACAATGTCTCCGAAGAGCCATTCCACAGAAGACCTAACAAAGCTCGTGGCTTCGCTATATATCTCCATCTGAGCCGTAAAAACTGCATTTCTGAATGGGCTTTGGAGGTTCACCCGCAAAGAATAAGCCGGATCACCATATATACACAGAGGCCGTCCAGCTGGCGAAAGGGCATATGGGTTGAGATCTGCCAACAGGTTGGAGTCTGCCAACATCTCAGCATCATCTTTTCTTCCCTCCTGAAAAATACAACGCAGGGACCGCGTAGCAAGTTTTTTAGTGGGGGGGGATTTTTGACTCCGTTATTTTTTGTTAAATTGTTTTTTGTTTAATTTATTTTTGTTTTTGCAAAAAAGTGGGGGGGGGGGGGGGGCTAAGGCCCCCTCAGCCCCTCCCTCTGTGTGGTACCTGTTATGTTAGTTGATAACTCAGAATTAGTAAGTACGTCGTAAATAAAGTTGCATTTGCTGTTGCCACACTCTTAGAATAAATCATTTGTTAATGGTCAAATACAAAAACCATTCAAACACATAAAAGCAAACATGAAGATTGAAATGCAAAAATTTTAAAGCACTCGCTAACAGGTCCAAACATGTTAGCAATCATTCCGTCTGGGGTTACGATTGACTGAAATTTTATAACATGGATACGTTTATGCCCGATGTAGACGATTCTTTGGTTGCATTCTGGTCTAGATATAGGCCGAACAGTTCCGTCGACAAACCCGACGCAGTTATCCAGTGGTGCTCCTTTTTTGTGAACCACAACGGCGTAGTATTCTAGATTCCTGAGTCTTAGTAGCTGATGGTTCCATCGTTGAATAAGATGACCGTGAGTTCCTTAAATGTAAGTGAACACTTCATTTGTTATCATGCTACTAACAGGAACAGGCTTGGCGAACAAATGTACCATGTCGCTGTACCGACATGGAAAACACATGCGTTTTAACAGCAAACATAAAGCTTCTTCTCCATCACAAACACTCCTTTGGCTGCATCTAATATTACGGTATGTGCATTTTTTAAAGTCTAAACTGTGCCAAACATTCGTCGTCGCTAAAATTTTTGAAGTCAAATTCAGAGAACGAGTCATACGGAAGTTCTAGGTTTTGCGATTCGTAGCTAGCTGAAAGCAACAAAAATTCGTCATCACTAATGTAGTTCATCTTGTAACAAAGACGGAATAACTCTCTTGCTTCCTTGAAGGATGACATTTTTGCCAATAGAATGACTGCACAACAACGCTTTGAGCTCTGAGCTTTTCGCCGTAGTGTCGCTGTAACTTAACGATTCGTATTTGGAGGGAAATACGCCGTACTCACCCTAGTCTATCGCGGCCAAGGTAGCCGTAGTACAGATTCACCATACCGTATCGTAAAGTCCCTTTTTACACCGGGCACAAAACTAAAAGTCTTAGAGATGTTTTTGGATGACATGGTTCGAAGATACACGAAGAAGCTGATATCAAGATCGAGGAAAATTACTCTTAAAAAAAGATGTATTCAAATTGACTTTCCCGCATTTCTTGCTATGTACTGACTGAGTTTGCGCGTCTGTATTGCGTTATAATCTAACTTGTAATCCATTTGACTTCCGTTTCCGGCCCCAGAAATATGGGTACTCTGGTGCATCCCCACAGGGGATAAATCAGTAGAGCCCGACCTTGATTATACTTAGTAGCCTTAGGAAAAGAATCCAAGGTTGATAAACAAGAAAGAGGAGTAGAAATCTGTCTGTTACAAGTTATTTTTTATTTGCGTGACTTTCATTTACGCGCGCGTGATCGATCGGTGCCTCTGTTCTCATTCGACACATTCGCAAGTTTTACGCATAGTTTAATCCGAATGGAACATTTCTCCGGAAGAAAAGTCTCTACAATTCATGTAAATGTCCTAAGTGTCTAGCGTAAATGGAGTTTTCGACCATAAATCGCACCATCCATCATGTTGTTCAGGCAATTTGCCGACTATGATCGTGACACTCGGTCCCAGTCTCAAAACGAAGAAGAGCATTCTAGTCCATCCTTCAAGTGACTTCCGTAAGATTTAGACACAACCTTCCCTCATTGAAGCATCAGCAAAGGTCTGACAGGATGGTGTCTTTGCGTGAATATGAAATTTACTCACTCTTTCTTCTGCTGGTAAAGTTTCACGGGTCAGGTAAGTGTGAAGTTATTCTTTCGTACAAAGGATTTGACAGTATTTTTTTACCATGTGCCATTTTAAGCTTGGACACTGAAAACGCCGACCTTTATTGCTAAACGCAATTTTCGTCAAAATGATTTCCGATTTCCAAGGTGGCTCTCAACAGTTTTTTTATTTAAAAATTTAGATATGTTGTTGGAACTTCATTCCCGTGATAAATGAGGTCTGAATAACTATGATACGATAGAAATCAAGAGCAAAGGATTTTATGCTTCAAGTGTAACAATACATACGTTCAGAATTTAACATAAACATTGAAACTTAGAAGTGCAATACTTTCTTAATTAGTGTGAGTTGTCTTTTTAGCCATGAGAAAAGTTACTGCTTTGTCAGGTGGCTTTACATTACAAACATAATGGCTATGCAAACCCAGAAGAGAGTAATGCCATATGCACATAAACTCTTATCCTTGCCATCAATCACTCATTTTTGAGAAGAGCTGATACCAATTTTTCCGCTCATTATTGGTGCAAATAATGACCTCAGCAAGGATAATTGCTGTTAGCTAAGTTGTGTGTGACTTTTCCTTTAGGCAGCAATCAGGTAAAAAGACTACATGATGCACTTGGATTGATAAATGAGCATTGTTTGCTCATACACCAACATGTGTGATTTATCTACTTGACCAGCTTTTAGCTTTATGCACATATGATTGTAGTATCCCATAATGGTAGTCGTTGACAACTTATTTTTGTTGTATAATTAAAAACAGATAAGATTTTAACCATTTGAAATCTTTGTCAAGATATCTTTGCTTATCATATACAGACTGAGATTTACTCTAAGCTAAATTGACAAAACAAATAAGGATTTGTAATAAAATGCACAAATCCTTATAGGTAGGATGGTTTTTCTCACAATTGAGAAATGGCCATCTGACTAATCACAAGATGAAGATAAAATTTTTGACCACTGAAAACAGTAGCATGGGTTTTTTTGCCTTCGTGTTGTAGGGGCTGGCCAAAGTTAATGAAAGTAAATGTTAACAAGGTTTTCTGGTTGCTGACAACTGTAGAATTGTGACTTCAAGGTTGAAAACAAGAAGTCAGCTAGACTTCATGAAATTTGTGTAAATCATTCTGATTTCACTTCATGGAAACTGATCAAAATCTTTGTCTACTGATCTACTATTCTTTTGCTTTGATCAGTCCCTGACATTTGCAGTCCAGGAAAATAAAGTGGAATCTCCTCTAAAATGGTACAAAAGACTTATATGTCCAGATTCTGACTCTCACAAGAAAGCATTGCAATCCACCTTTGTGATTTGATTCGATCATGCTTATGTGAATGAGCAAAAATTTGTGCTTCAAATTGGCTTATCTCAGGCTTCCAATACATGATAGGGAAAAAAAGACGAGAGCAAATTTGGCTTTCAGGGTATAATCAAGGATTCTACCAAATCCTGCTCTTTTTATGGCAGAACTATACTTCACATAAGAAGTACATTTAGTTCCTGTCTTGCTGTCTTGCACACACGTAGAACATCAGAGGGCTTAATGACACAACGGTACATGTACAAAAAAAAGCTGAATTTTCATCTTTCACTTGTATAAAGCTTTACAGTACAGTGTAAGAAAAAATCTGTTCTTTCTGTAAGAAATTAAGGTTTAAAAGGTTGGTTAATTAATAATTCAATGCTATTACCGTAATTTCCGGTCGATTACCCGCGGGTAATCTGTTGATTTTGCATTAAATCCGCGCCACTGCGGGTAATAGGGAGGTGCGGGTTATGTGACAATTTTAAATTCTTCTGGAAGTTGAATTGAAAAAATTTCTCACCTACCTGCGTTTCCACCTCTCAAATGAATTTTATTGTATCAAAAGTGCCACAAAGCGGCACGAAAACATGATGCCAACTCGAGTTTATTTCGCGCATAATTAGTTGCGTGACAAACAAATTTTTATCGGCACGCGTGAAAACAAAACCTTGATGGTGACAAAAATAATCCAAGGATATCCGGCGCATCAGTAACAAATTTCCAGTTTTCACTAGCTTGAGCTAAAGAGAATTTTCCCGTTTTAAGGGACTTGTTAGGCCCAGTAGAACAGGAGATATCGATTTTTTTGAGAAATTGCCGACAGTAATTTTAAATCCCAAATGCATCACCAGAATGTTGAAAATAATAGGTGCGAAACTTAACTAATTTCGCGCTGAAAAAGTATTTTAACGACAAATGAACAATGGATATTGCTCATTACGCTCCTACATGCTATAAAAAGGTAACTGACTGAATAAGAATTATAAACCTCGATCATTCGCGATAAGTGTATCCACGAGTCACCAATTAAGTTAAAATGCCTGCTGTGAAACGCCCACGTCACAGTTTTACGTTTGATTATAAGCTTAGAGTAATAACTCTTGCCGATGAAATCGGTAATAGAGCAGCAGCAATAATCAATCAATAAAGTATAAGCTAATATTGACACAGAATTGTGCACATGTCTGAATCGAAAGACTGAAATGTATCGCCTTAATGTCACGTTTTCGCCACCGAAAAAGTTGAATAACAACGTGCGGGTTATCCACCGGTGCGGGTAATCCGTTGACTTTTTTTTTCGCCGTATGCAATAATCGGCCGGTGCGGGTAATCGGCCGTGCGGGTAATCGACCGGAAATTACGGTAATATAAAGCACACTTGGTTGCTGTTTTTGTATTTATTGTGACAGCTGCTTTGGTTATTGCTTTAAGGTGAGGTGAATAGCTGGTGGCTAACCACCAGTGAGCTTGGCAATCAATTTATACAAAAGTACTTAAACAAATCCACCATAATTTTCCATTGTTTACTTAAAAAATAGCTTCCAAGTTGCTGTGCTCTGTTCAGTAATAGATGACATATGACATCAGAATTTTGTAAGAACAAAAAAGTGGCACATAAGATTCAGCTTAGCTTGTTCCAGTTGTCAGTTATTAAAACAGAGCAGAATAACAAACAGCATGACAGTAGTAGGGGAGTAAAAAAACAAGGGAGACTACAGTACTGTTTACTATGGTGCTCTGCTTACTTACTGAATGCTGAGAACAAGCTAGAGGCAGTTGAGTGTGTCACTAAATAAATGTTCTTTGCACATTTTGACGCCCTCTATGATTTATAACTGTACAGAGCAAGGGCAACGTGGAACCTATTTGTTTTATTTAATAAAGAAGCAAAAATTGTTAATGGTGACATCACCTATGCATTTTTCCTCTAATAGATCATAATTTCATGAAAGAACCAATCAAAATACATGTAGAATTTAGCGTATTATACAAAACCTTATTGATGGCAGAAATGAGGTCAAAGATATTCAAAGATGTTTAAGGAGGCACAGTACAAGTTTTGAAAATTGTTGACATCCTTTCTATGGCCAAGGTTATAGAAAATAGAAAATTGTGTTTGATTTCTTTTTTATTTTGATTACATTGGAATTTTTATGCCAGCATAATACACCTAAGTTTTTGGAAAATCATGCACAAGTGACAGCTGATTGATCATTGCATTGTTGTTTGTGCTGTCATTGTTGTTTTTACCTTGTGTTATGTGATGACTTCAATGATAAATATTTTATTAGTATAATTGCTCACTCAGGTGATTATAGAGATGTGCATGCTCTGATTGGTCAAGGATTACATCATATCTTGCTATAATCACAGAGAACAGGGTGATTATAGCAGGAGCCCTAAATTTCAAAATGGCTGCCTCATGTTCTGTCAAATGTTTGTGAGGGAGTGATAGATGCAGTAGAAGAAAATTAAATTGCAAAGAGCATGAAAGATGCTATAAGATTAGCAGAGCACTTTTCAAAACAAAGGGATGAAGTTTTTGGTATAAAAGAATAAACCTCTCAAAACTGCTTGCTCATCTTGATACAGTGTACAGGTAATCAACACAATTGTAAAAAAATGTGTGCAATACTTTTTTCATTTACAAAATTTATTGAAGAATTTGAAAACACCTGAGTGATTATATTAAAACAATTATTTGCTGAATTAAGGCAAAGGGAAGATCATCGAATAATACTCACTTGACCTTTGGCAAATATTTGTTCATTTTTATTCACTATTATGTTATTTTACCTTGTTAGGGCAATGAAATGAATGAAATATGCTTTGGTTATACACTGCAGAACAGGGCAAGGATAGGGAGAGAAGTGATGCATGTGATTCTTGATTTCTTTTCCAAATTTTAGGCATAATTTTTTCGGCACTGAACTTTAAAGCCCACAAAAATTTTGTTCTGGTCATCAAGAACTCTTAAATGGTTCCTTTTCTGTTGTTTTCTTCTTTCATGCGCATCTTATGTAAGATGGGTACTCAGATAAGGCTGTACAAAATTTTTGATAACTAGAAGCCAAAAGACCAGAAAATGAAATGAGTGGAATAATAAATCCCTCATTTGATGTTTTAACATATAATATGTGTGGGCATTTCCACTTTCCATTTTCCACCTCAAAAAGTTCTTCTTCAAAAGATTTCTACAAGTGTACCACTTTTAAATTTTGAGCCTTATTTCTTAGCAAATGAAAGTATATATTTGAGCTGATTGATATCAATGAATACCAATGAATTGCATAGTTACACTTATTATTGTTAAACTGCATGCTTATGCTAAAGTGCATCTTTGGTGGACTCTATTTGAGCCCTTCTTCTTAAATATTATCCTTACACTTGTAACTAAAGGGCTGAGAATATTATGTTTATGGTTGCCTATTTTAGGGGGTGTGGGTGTGCATTTCACCCAGGAACCTTCTAATCCAAGCTACTTTAACAATGGTAGTGATGCCAACCTGGTGTGGGACTACACTGATCCACATAATAACATTCAGCACATTATCTATAGTGTTCTGGTACATGGTGCATTTGTCAGAATGATGGTTAATAGCAGTCATGGTGTCCAAGAACATCCTAATATTCCTCCATCTTACAAAGGAAGAGTTAAAATTGAAGGAAGAGCTACCCTGGTTATCAAGAACATCAACCCTGGAGACAATACCAAATTTAAATGTGTTATGTTTGGAAGCTTTGTAAGGACGATTGAAAGTACAGTTCAGCTTATTGTGGCAGGTAAGTATTACAGATATAAACATAAATAATCAAACGTAAATCAAATGCATTCAACTCATGTCTTTCATATTTCTAAGATCTGGAGAAAGTAAACAATAGCATACATGTGCACAAACCTTTATACGCAGGGCAGAAAGTGGCTAGCTAACCTGACTTTTGGGAACAATAGCGCTTCTTTTACTTCGCATGAAACACCACACTCCTAGAAGGAGAAAAGAAATTCTACCATTTACTTTGCTGTTTGTCACAAGGAAGAAATCAATGAGTTATCAGAGAGTTATTGCTTTATTCTTCTGGCACCAATTACTGGGTTGCTCTGTTATGCATAGATAACCATTACTAATATATGAGTACAGAGATTTTCTCTTAGCAAAGCTTTCAATTCAGGATGGTCAGTTGAAACTAGAAACAATCCAACTGGTTTTGATTTTATGATTTTGCAAAATCAATGAAGGAAAATATATTGCATTACCAATCACAGGCAGCATGTAAAATTAAAATGGTGTGAAAAAGATTGTATTGCTTTTCATGCCTTAAAAAGGGACTTGCCAAATGCAATGAAAGTCGGCACTGCGTCATTTGCTGCTTCCTGAGGATTGTATGATCTTAGAGGTTTGCAGATGTAAATTTAGCCAGCAGAATGGTGACTTCCTCAAGTAATTTCTGATACTAAGAAGCAAGTTGAGACTTGAAGATTTGTGTGATGGAGCACAATTTTCCTAAAGTTTTGAAAGCAGCAAAAGAATGAAGTCCATAATTCAAGCTCTCTATGCCTGTGAAAGACGCTGAGCATGCAAAAAGAAAATTATTCAATATAGAATGATGTAATAGTCAATATAGCTTATGTAACCTAAACTTTTCAGAAAACTTTTCATGTATAAAACGGAAGCCCAAATAAATGTTCTTTGAACAAACTTTTTCATCTTCTTTCTGAGTGTTTACCTTTCATTTTGGACTACAGTATCTAAGATATCCTAACAACATTAAATACATTTAAACGAGTGTGATATTGAGTATGTAACTTCTTTGTCATTTGACTGTGATTCAAAGTTGAAAAACGTTTGTGACATCTCAATACTCATGTACAATTTACCTCATTGTTTGCTGGAACGATTTTCTTCACTTGTGAAGAATCCAAACTCACTTTTTACAATGTTCACTTGCTTGTTTTTGATCCTTTATGACTCATGAACAAAAATTGTTTGAGCTCACCAGCCATTACATAATCTTCTTTCTTTTCTTTCATTTAATCATGCATTTGCTAAGTTCTGTTGGCTTATTTGAACTGTAGTACAGTACCTGTCACACCGCTTCTCTTTTCCTATCGTATTACGATAGAAAGATACCAGGTTATTATGGCTTAAAATGGGCAAACGAATCATCATTTGCATTTGGTTTTTGTATCCCAAAGCCAATCCATGTCTAAACCCTAACCCTAAGCAAGTAGCTTAGAAGCTTGGGTCCTTAGCCCAAAGAGTAACTTCCTGAATTATCCCTTCATTTACTAGGCTGAGGCTCTGCTTTATAATTGAGCTTGTAAGCAAGTTCTCCAGTAGCTAGTGCCAGGTTGACTTGTACTGAATGAAGTTTGAGCCTCCTATACTAGCTGGTTGTTGGGTACCAATTGCTGGATGCTTTGATATATTTTATTGAAATTGGGTAAATTTCAAGGCTGAGTCCAAGCTAGATTTGCTATGCTATATGAGGAATGATAATATCTCTTTTACCTTTCAGAGGCACTACTTATAAACATCTCTTTAAGAGGAAAATATTACATTGAAGGATCCTCTGTCACCATGGCCTGTGAAGCTTCTGGGAAACCATTGCCAGATGTAGCATGGATTAGAAATGGAGTGCTGGAAAGTTCAGGGAGGAAAGCTACGTTTTTAAAGTTCGATAATATAAACAGAAGGGATGCAGGACAATACACATGTCGAGCCAATAACTCAGTGGAAGTCACTTCTGTTGACACATCAATTGTAGTTCAGTGTAAGTATATTTTAACCTTAATTTTCTAAGAGAAAGCTGACAATTGGTAAAAGTTATGTCATCTGAGAAATTACAGTTTTCTTTACTAATGGCTGAGATCAGCTGACAGGTGCGAAAATCGGCTGAAACTAAACCTTTCAGATCGAAAAGTCTGTAATCTGATTGGTCTCTTTTAGTTTACATTACATGCAAACTACCTAGTTATTTGCAACTTTACGTTGACAATAATTAAGTTTGGCGTCCTTTTTCGTGTTAATTGTTGTTAAAGTAATTATAATGACGTTAGAAACGCGTAGGTGTTGTTTGGTAAAAGCATTCTAATCCAAGCCTTTATTACTTGATAGTTTTGTCTCAGGTCGTTTAAATGTAAAAAAAATTATGCATGTTGATTATTCTTAACTCGCCAGTAAAGAATTATCATTGCTATTGGAAGATAATCGAAAGCAGTTTTCCTTTGTCCTGCTTCATGATGACGTTAGTTTCAAATCCCGAGAAAAAGATGGTGTTTAGAACTAATATTTTCAAAGTTTGATCCGTTTGCCAGCAGAGACTCCCAGAGGAAAGCAAGTTGCTTTCTGAAAAATTTCACCGTGTTTTTTAGCACCCTTAAAACCAAAAATTAGTTAACTTTAAGATCTAACCTTACATATGACGTAAATTTCATTCGATCTGATAACGAACCCCATTCGTAAGAACGAAACTCATGTCACAGGTTACGTTGTCATTCTTTGTGATTAACACAATGAAAGAACGCCAAGTCCGTCTCTGTGAACTTCACTGCATTTATAGGCTCTTTTAGTTGCAATATACCACTACATCTTAGCTTTCATTCGATGTAAGTTTCTTGAGGTTCAATAAACATTGGCGAAAATCACTTGGCGAAAATGACTCGACGAAAATCACCTTGGTTTCGTTTTGCGTAAACTGATGATAATCTTCGTGATAATAACATATTATATTTCATTAAACGGGTAGCGTTCTATAATTGAGTGGCTACACATAACCTAAGAGTTTTACGCAAATCATAATCTTTGTCATTTCTGCATGTTTTGTTTCATTTAACAGCTTTAGCGTGGGAAACGAAGTTTCTAAATGATTTCCCACTGTTTAACTAAATCAATATTGTAGAAAATTCTTTGTGATACAAAGATCTGATTGGTCACTGACTTTCATCAGATTTGGTGGCTCCTTAAAGAGCCATTTTGAGCGACCTACAATGCAATGTCAACAGAGAATTAGGTGGAGCAGGGCGCGGTGGCTGCCGTTTGTATATTTTGTTTCAGCACCTCGAGCCTCCACCACAGTTTGATCAACTTTTTGCAAAACATGATCCATGTATTTTGCACGCTTCTTCGGCGTGACCTTCCTCTCCCAGAACTTCTTTATACAATTTACAAGCTCCTGCTTGTTGTTAGGTTTTACCTTTGACTCGAAGTAGAACTTGAGTTCACGCCACAAGGTTTCATGGGTTTAAGGTCAGGATTCTTCAGGGGGATTACGCCACCAATTGAACTTTTTTCCTAAAAGAGAGCTTGCGCTCGCCTACACGTGGGTGACATTAGAAGTATTTTTTTTTTTGTAAATATATATTTACAATTTGAAACAGACAGTTTTCAAGAATTGTGTCTGAAATTTCTATTTGTTACGAACTTAATTTTTTGGTCCAAGGTTTAGATCAGAGTGTAATAAAAAACAGCAATAATTCGGCTGTTGATTTACTATAACCATATCTAAAACCATACTATTCTACCACAAGCACAGTTATCCATTTCTGGTTTAAAAATAATTTCAAATTTTTAACAGTTTTGGATTAGCTAGAAGAGTTAGGTTGACAGAAGAAAAGAACGATTTAGAAAGCTGAAACCATATTTAAATATCGCGTTCAAAATATGTTTTAAGAACTTGATAACATTTCTGGTTCTTCTCGTCCTGGTTTATTTTCATTGACTTTCAACATTTAATTATGATGCCAGTCAGCAGAAATTATACATATGATATAAATACAGTGTGGCAAAATATCCTGAATTGTGTCCGGGAAATTGCCTTCTTTTCAACGCAGTAGAATTGCTATAAAGGTATCCAGGAATTTGTGATGAATTCCTACATTCATTTAGTTTCCCCAAGGTTTTTCATTCAGACAAGTGGTTTACATACTATTGCCAGTGCAAATTTAAAACACTTATCATATTTAGCCTATTTCAGACTCTCAGGAAGTAAAACGAGCCCCGGTAGTATGAACACCACCTGACCAAAATCTCCCTGGTTTTACGTTTTGGTTTTTCGCTCTGCTGCTGCTAAAGCACTTTGCAACAGCAAACTTGAGGAAGCAAACAAACAAAAAATTGAATTCTTTGTTTGTTTGCATTTTTGGTGGTGGAGTTGAGCCAAAAATCCGTGATGATTTTCAAGATGCTCCTCTACCTAGAAGCATATAGCCTATGAGGCCTTGACTTAAGGTTTCTCTTAAATTGATCAAGGGAGGCTCTGTTCCTCAGGAATTTCTTAGATAAACGTATCATTCTGGTACCAATTGAGGAAAATAAGGAATGTCTTAGATTCAAATTGGGTTTCCGCTTTTTTGCGAGATGAGATCCTCTCACGTGCAGCGTCTAGGGCACTGTTGCACCCGTCTTCTGGCTCAAAATTAAGCTGTTGTTCATGAGCGGCAACATTTTTATGTCCGTTAAAAAATAAAGCTGGGCTTCGCAAATTACTAATTTTTATTAACAGAGAATTTAAAATAGCTATTCCAGTAACAACATAGTTGGTGCTATTTTTCTTGCTGCAGAAATGCCATTGTTTTTCAGTGTGCAATGTGTAAGTTAAAGTATTTTGCTTAAAGTCAGAATTCTAACTATAGGTAAATGACTTGCTACAATTTTCCATCACAAAAGCGTTATATTTTCTACCCAAGGCACTCCATGGACTGGTACAAGATTAAAACCCCCTCCTGTTGCATTATCATGAACCTTCTAGACTTTCATAAGAGGTTATGATTTACAACCAGGCGAAATGTATGAGCGATGAAATAAACTAAAATTGAGATTTTGATTTGATTCAAACTTTTAGACAAACCTGAAGGTGTGAGGCTCACCACTAATGCTGCACAAAACACCGTCACTGAAGGAGACACTGTTACGTTCAAATGCATAGTTATGGCTGCTGTGCCTCAAGTGTCAATTTACAAGTTCTATTTCAATGGCAGCCTCCTAAGCAATAACAGAAACAGTGACTTTATTCTCAATAACGTCAATCGATCTCAGCACTATGGGGAGTACAAATGTGTCCCACATAATGACGTTGGAGATGGAGCAAAAGCCACTGTGAGACTTAACATCGAGGGTGAGTAGGAACATCTTTTAGCATTTTTAAGTACTTTGGATCTATAATCCAAAACGGGAAAGATGTTTTATACCAGTTTACAGTGCGTCAATAAAACTTCCCACACAGTGAATCATTACAACCCCGAACAGGGAGGAATAGAGACCCTGGTGATGAGGTTGGCGTTTTGTGCTTGGTGATCAACACATGTGCTAGTTAGCAGTATTCTCAAGCAGATGAAGAATTTTGTTGATGTTTCTGATGTTTTGATCAGATTTTCGAGGGTAGGGAATGTTTTCTTTAGATGTAATGTATGATGTCAGTATCAGTTGAACTGATATGTTATCGAAAGGAATTAAAATGTTGGTTTGCAAAAATGAGCCAAAATTAAAAAAATCACAATGAACAACCTCGAGTTAAGAAATCACCAGTCAGTTATATGCTGCCTTCAATCCTAATAAGTCTGGGAAACTGCAAGTAGTGTTTGACTACACAGCCCGATACAAAGGGACATCGCTCAATGATCAACCACTCAGTGGTCCAGCCTGCTTGGTGTCCTCTTAAGATTTCGTCAGAAACCACTATCTCCCTCCTCAGACATTGAAGCAATGTTCCATCAAGTAATGGTTAGTCCAAACGATGTTGATACCTTAAGGTTCCTTTGGTGGCCTGACGATGACTTATCTAAGGAGCCTGTTGAGTACACCTTTTTTGTAACACGTCTTCACCAAGTGGGGACAATTTTGGTGTTCGAAAGATAGCTCAAGACAATACAGGAGACTTTGACAATGACGTGATCGACACAGTATTGAAGAACTTTTATGTGGATGACTGATTGAAATCGGTGCAATCAAATGAAGTCGCCTGTAAATTGAGAGAAGATTTGTGTGTCCTATTGTCAAGAGGTGGATTTGGATTGACTTAACGGTTGTGTAACAGAAGGGAAGACCTCAAATCCATTCCAACCTCAGATAGAGCTTCAACAATATTGTATTTGGATTTAAATTCTGGTGTACTCCTTATTGAAATAACCCTTGGTGTTCATTGTAACATGGATAGCGACATATTTATCTTCAAAGTACCACAGAATAAGCCCTTCACACGAAGAGGGATTCTATCAGTGCCTAGCACCATTTATGATCCACTTGCTATAGTATCACCAATCACCTTACTAGCTAAAAAGGTCCTTCAAGATCTCTGCAAACAAGGACTCACCTAGGATGAAGAGATAGTGAGAGAGAAATATAAGTTTTGGAGACCATGACTATCTGATCTACCTATGCTTTCAAGTGTTGCATTGAGCAAAGAGACAAACGATTCTGCATGTCTGTGGCCAATCGCCTGGCAGTGAAAAATGACGGCTCAGAACCTTCCCAGTCGCACTTTGAGCCAACAAGCATCAACCTAGTTATTAAAGAGGGAAGTTTGGTTCAGGGGCCCTAAATTTTTGTGGGAAAGTGAAACATTGTAGCCCAACCATCCAGTCTCATCAGTCAGCATTTCTGAGTAAGACCCAGCGGTCAGAGGTCAAGCTCGAACAAACCATGTTACTCTTACGGAGGATAAACAACCTCTGGACCGAGTGGTTCTGCAATATTCGTCATGGTTTAAGCTTAAGAAGGGAGTTGCTTAGCGTCTGAGATTTAAGAAGAATTCCTTAAAAGCAAGAGGTGCTTACAAGAGGACCCTGTTGATCCATTACCTTGTGGGAGGCTGTCGATAGACGGATTACGACATGCAGAGGCTCAAATAATCCCTTACGTGCAAAAATTAGTTTTCTCGCTAGTGGTTAGGGCCCTCCTAGACTTGAGCCCAGGAGAATCCGGGATGTGTAAATTAGAGATTTTCGGCTCATTTGGTTCCGTGTACAAATTGAGACCATTTCTGGACGGAGCTGGAATATTGAGAGTTGGTGGTCAGCTTCAAAATTCTTCTTCGGTTTACTAATCGAAACATCAATTGCTCTTACTTTCAAAGGACCATGTTACCAAGCTGCTCATTATGGATGTTCATCAGTCTGTGGGTCATCTAAATCAAGAAAATGTCCAGATCAGTTTGAGACAAAAGTACTGGGTCTTCAAGGGACGGGCTGCTCTTTGAAAAGTACTCAGTAAACCCCCGTTTTCTAACGTTGGCATAGATTTCTTTGGTCCACTGTAGGTGAAACAAGGCAGAAATACAGTTAAAAATGATGGTGTCTTTTCTCTTGCTTAACTATCCGTGCGACTGCCAACAAAGTCAAGTTTCAACACGCTAACGCTTTAAAATCTATTTTCATTACGGTTCATCGTGGTCGCAAAAGGAACAAATAATTACAAGTTATTACGAAGTAGAGGGTATAGGAAAACGCAAAACAACAGAGGAAATACGATCGGACAAGGGAAGACACTTACAACGTTGTATGACTTGTAAGCACGAAGAACGGAAAAGCTAAAAACGATCGCAGGGAAGGAATCACTGATACTCCAATGTTAAATTTTTTGAAAAACTTTTTATGAATGAGATAAAACAAAGCAGAATCATGCGAAAAAATCTAACAGAATACAAATCACGGTGAATGAAAGGAATGCGGAAACAAGAAAAATGTGCGTGTAAAAGCACAAAAGTGTTATTAGGGACGTAAAAAGAAAGAAATCATTAAGTGAGAATGCCGCAGTAACAATCCGAGCAACCCACCTTGAAGTGACCGAGTCTCTCGAAACAGACTCGTTTATTTGCGCTCTTTGCAGATTCATCAGTAGAAGAGAGACGCCAAAGATGATAAGAGGTAACAATGGTATGAACATAAGTAGCGGAGAGAGAGAAATCCGTGAAGCCTTAAACAACTGGAATCAGCAGAAGATAGAAGTTTTCCTACACCAGCTAAACATCAAGTGGAAGTTTAATTTCCCTGGGGTATCACACATGGGAGGAGTCTGGGAACGCATGATTCATTCAGTGAGAAAGATCTTAAGAGTCCTTTTCAAGTAACAAGTGGTTCTGGAGAGGCACTGCGAACGTTGATGGCAGAAGTTCAGGGAATTCTTAATGGTCGACCATTGACTATCAACAATGGCACACAGTCCTACTGATTCGGAATCTTTGACTACGATCCATTTGTTACTTCGATTGCATTTAAATTTGCCGCCAGGAATCTTCGTTAAGAATAATTTGTACTGCTAACGTCGCTGGAAGCAGGTTCAATGCCTTGCTGACGTATTCAATACTGGTATTCTACGTATTCTGCCAGCAGGTTCAATACCTAGATGGCAGAAATGGATCAGACCACGTCATAGTTTTGTTGTTGGTGAATTGGTTTTAATTCCTGATGAAAGAGTTCACCATAGTCAGTGGCCTTTGGGTCGCGTTGTCGGAGTTCACCCAGGAAGAGACGGCTTTATCCGATCTGTCAAGGTTGCTACAAAGTCCTCTACATTCACAAGGCTAATGTCAAAGCTTTGTTTCCTCGAACAAGAGATCCTACTCCCGAAGAAGGGCTCTATTTAATCTACCTGACTATCTTGTTGTTCATTGAAAGTGAAAAAAGCCTTTGAATTTGCGTACCAGATGTACGTGAACTTTGAACACTAGCAGACTAACTTAAGGGACTCTTATGTTAATTATTATTTGAATTCTAGTCGCGCAATACTTAAAGTAAACTTAAGGAGCTGGAATGTAGCAACTAGAATTTGCATTTCTGTCTATTGTCAAGCAACTGCGAACAGATTTTGTATTGTTTTTCTTTCAATTGAAATACTATTGTGATGTTCTGTTTCGACTCAATTAAGCCCGCGTTTTTGCATGAGGTTGTGTAAGAATTACGTAGTGCTGGTAGCATTTTATTTCTCGTTTTCGTTGCATACTTCTCATTACTAGTTGATATCAAATAAGTCAGTCGTTTCGTTAGTTTTTGCATGCAAGCGCCGTGTTACTTTTGTTCAAGAGTTTCACCATCAGACCTGGTTACGCCACAAATTGTAAGTTCGTTTTTATTTCATATAGCTCTGTCGTTAGTCTTGTTGTTATATTTGTATGAATTATTTATTTTCAGTCGAATCACATGTACACAACTACACATCAACGTATCTTTACATCTAAATATTCGTCTATAATCAATAAAATAATCAAGCGAACAGATTAGCTGTGCATTCATTTTGTGGCGAACCTGGCGCTACAATACCTTTTCCATTTTACTTTGAAATGCACTTTTTTCGATATTAGAAGAAACCATTCGGCTTCATCTTAAAATTAAATAGAATTAATTATTATAATATATCATATTAGCATATTAACACTTGACTCTTTGTCACTTAACCTTTTATTTCAAAGTTGGCCCCGTCCATTGATATCTGTGTTCTATTGAGTTTAACACTGAAAGGTCAGTTCTTGTTATGGGCCTCTCTGTAGTTCTTTGACATTTCGAATGGTTTTTAGTGATAGTGTTGGCAATGATAATAATTATAATGACGATAGGAGTTATAAAAATATCAATGATAATAATGCTGGTGACATTGATATGAGTAACAATAAACGGTTTAGGAAGTATAGTCCTTCACACCCAGAACCTCCTTTTTATTTGTTCTCCTTTTGAGGTGTGCATCAAAATTTCGAAGTCATCACAGGCTTAAACTATAGGTTTACAGGAAATCTACATGTGCATGTGTTTTCAACATATGAAACTGGTATTATGACTACTTCAAAAGACTTTACTACATGCCATATAGGTACAGGCAGGTGTTGTAAAAAAAGTTTGCTTAGCTTTTTCATTAGTACGCATTTCTTTTTCTAAGAACCTTGTTTATCCAGCCTGTGCTGAATTCCAATTTTTCCACCAAATTTATTATTTTTTTAACATTATAAAATCTCCTAGTATCAGTTAATATTCTTGTAATTAAAATAATTACATCAAATCTTGCAGATGTATGGCAGATTATTTTTTCTCTGAACCTCCTAACATTTTACCATTTGAAGGGACTGGTATTGGCTATAAAAGTATAGTCAAATTAAAGGTTTTTGCACAACCTATGCATCGAGTTTTTGTTATAAAATATTGTATCCTTCTCAAAACTAGTTTATCAGAATAAGAATGAGTTACCGGGAACAAGTATGGCTTTCATGATGATAGTTTCCAGATTTGGAAAAAAGTCACTGCCTACTAAAATCCTCAGTTCCTTTGCCTTGCTAGCCCAACCTCAACAAAACATTGCCAACAGGAGTGATTAGCAAATTATTGATACAGACAAGAGGGCCTATTCCCACATACATCCTCCTCAATCCTGTTAGCTCACTATGGTCATGGCATTTCAAACATGGTGTATATGCCACAAGTTTTCCATTTCCCTGACTAATTACTTTGTTAGTGTTTATATGTTGAGGAAATGGTTGGGTTGAAATATAATACAAAGACTTGCCAGTAGATAGTTTTATTACAGTTTTTATTCTGTGTAACGTAGGGCTGGAAAATAAACTAATAAGAGCTCCGCTTTTAGGCTTGGCTAAATCTATATATTATTAATAATAATAATAACAGTTTTAGGAAGTATAGTCCTTCATACCCAGAACCTCCGTGAAAAAAAAATTTAAGCTAACTTATTATTATTATTGTCATGTGGTTTGAGGTTGGTATGATGATTAAATAAAATTTAAAATTGCTTTTCGATCAATTTAGGTCTTATTTTTTTTTCCTCAGTTCAAACAGTTTCAAGTACAGTTGCCACTTCATCCCAAACAACTCCCGCAGGTAACTGTCTATTTAAAGGCGTTTTTTTTTGCCACCATGTAAAACTATGTCATCATAACAGCTTGTTCTTTGGTGTTACGAAATCAGTTTGAGTAAAAGACAAAGAGTGAATTAAGTCACTAAAAGTCTGGAACTTAGCGAAGGACTGTAGACTCACAAACAGTCACAACACATGCTGCTAAATCTATGTCAAAATTGAAAAAAATTTTTTTGCAAAGTTGTTACTATTCCGTAATTGCCTTTCATTAATACAAACTTATACAATTATGTGAATCTTGTCAGGTGTCATGCAGCGACGCAAAAGATCTTTATGTAGTAGGCTGTACCTTCTGCAATTGAAGGAGTAAGAATAAGCATAATTACAGATGTATAAAAGTAT